AGTTAATCTCACTAGCAATGGCAGCCTCTAAACTACTGTGTGAGAAAAACCTCACACTGACCTGAGGGCATAAAGTCCAAGCCAGAGCAGAAAGACTGGCAACATATGGCTCTCCAAAGCAATTGTGTCACACTGGCAACCAGCACCTCTGCTGCTTGGTCAAGTCTCAGGCTTGAAACATGTGACACTCATTAAGAAAGTCCTTTCATCCCTGAGAGGCTCAAAATGTCCGTTCATGTTGATCTGCTGTGCCCAAGGCTTGCCTTGACCCTGGAGTGTTTCCTGAAGCAATGCTACACAGCATGATGTGCTAAGAGCATTGTCTCGTGGATGTTCAGTATGTTTTGGGTTTGGTGTACTCTGAGTGTACTTTTTGTCACGCAAAGGGTGCTGAAAGTGTGTAGACAGCGGACAACACTGACTACATAGCATGGAAAGTTTGGTAGCTTAAAGTACCCATTTCTTCAGGTGAATAAAATGGTACAACAAATGATGAATTACTCCAATTCCTGCCAATATATTACATAAACTCAAGTAATATCAACTTGTCAATATGAATATAAATGGGGGACACCTCACACTAAACAATATCACCCAAGGCTCTGTCCAACCTGGTCTTGAACACTGCCAGGGATAGAGCATTCACAACCTCCCTGGGCAACCTATTCCAGTGCCTCACAGGAAAGAATTTACTCCTTATATCCAATCTAAACTTCCCCTGTTTAAGTTTGAACCCATTACCCTTTGTTCTGTCACTACAGTCCCTGATGAAGAGTCCATCCCCAGCATCCCCATAGGCCCCCTTCAGATACTGGAAGGCTGCTATGAGGTCTCCATGCAGCCTTCTCTTCTCCAGGTTGAACAGCCCCAGCTTTCTCAGCCTATCTACACACGGGAGGTGCTCCAGTCCCCTGATCATCCCTGTGGCCCTTCTCTGGACTTGTTCCAACAGCTCCATGTCCTTTTTATGTTGAGGACACCAGAAGTGCACACAATACTCCAAGTGAGGTCTCACAAGAGCACAGGAGAGGGGCAGGATCACCTCCTTCGAACTGCTGGTCACGCTCCTTTTGATGCAGCTCAGGATATGGTTTGTCTCTGGGCTGTGAGCGCACACTGAAGCCGGCTCATGTTAAGTTTCTCATTGACCAACACCCCCAAGTCCTTCTCTGCAGGGCTGCTCTGAATCTCTTCTCTGCCCAACCTGTAGCTGTGCCTGGGATTGTTCCAACCCAGATATAGGACCTTGCACTTGGCATGGTTAAACTTCATCAGGTTGGCATCAGCCCACCTCACAAGCGTGTTGAGATCCCTCTGGATGGCATTCCTTCCCTCCAGCATATCAACCAAACCACACAGCTTGGTGTCATCGGCAAACTTGCTGAGGGCGCACTCAATCCCACTGTCCATGTCACCAACAAAGATGTTGAACAAGACCGGTCCCAACACTGATCCCTGAGGGACACCACTCGTTACTGGTCTCCAGCCAGACATTGAGCCATCGACCACAACTCTTTGTGTGCGGCCATCCAGCCAGTTCTTTATCCACCGAGTGGTCCATCCATCAAATTGATGTCTCTCCAATTTAGAGACAAGGATGTCATGTGGGACAGTGTTGAACGCTTTACACAAGTCCAGGTAGATGACATCAGCTGCTCTACCCCTGTCCATCATTTCTGTAGCCCCATCATAGAAGGCCACCAAATTGGTCAGGCAGGATTTCCCCTTAGTGAAGCCATGCTGGCTGTCACCAAGCACCTTGTTGATTTTCATGTGCCTTAGCATGCCTTCCAGGAGAATCTGCTCCAAGATTTTGCCAGGCACAGAGGTGAGACTGACTGGTCTACAATTCCCTGGGTCATCCATTTTCTTTCTTGAAAATGGGGGTTATATTTCCCTTTTTCCAGTCATCAGGAATTTCACCTGACTACCACGATTTCCCAGATATGACGGCCAGTGGCTTAGCAACTTCATTTCCCAGCTCCTTCACGAGCTGCGGATGGATCTCATCAGGTCCCATGGACTTGTGCACGCTCAGGTTCTTAAGATGGTCTCGAACCAGATCCTCTCCTACAGTGGGCCCAAGGTCTTCATTCTCACAGTCCCTGCATCTGCCTTCCAAGACTTGGGAGGTGTGCTCAGAGCCTTTGCCAGTGAAGACCGAGGCAAAGAAGTCATTCAGAACTTCAGCCTTCTCCAAATCCTGCGTAGCCAGTTCTCCTGAGAGCTTCCTGAGGGGGCCTACATTCTCCCTAATGTGTTTTTTATTTGCTATGTACCTGTAGAATCACTTCCTGTTATCCTTAATATCCCTAGCCAAGTTTAATTCTAACTGGGCCTTAGCTTTCCTAACGTGGTCCCTAGCTTCCCAGACAACATCCCTGTACTCTTCCCATGCTGCCTGTCCTCGCTTCCACCTTTTATAAGCCTCTTTTTTTCATTTGAATTTTCCTCAGCAGCTCCTTATCCATCCAAGGAGGTCTCCTGGGCCTCCTGCTGCACTTCCTTCTAGTTGGGATGCAACACTCCTGAGCTTGTAGCAGGTGATCCTTGAATATCAACCAAGAGTCTTGGGCCCCCCTGCCCTCTAGGGCTATATCCCGTGGAACCTTACTAAGCAGGTTCCTGAAGAGGCCAAAGTCTGCTCTCTTGAAGTCCAGGGCAGTGAGCTTGCTGCACGCTCTTCTCACTGTCCTGAGGATCTCAAATTCGACCATTTTGTGATTGTTGCATCCAAGGCTGCCCTGGAGCATCACATTTCCAATGAGCCCTTCCCTGTTGGTGAGCACGAGGTCAAGCATGGCACCTCTCTTTGTCAGCTCCTCTATTACTTGCAGAAGGAAGTTGTCTTCCACACAATCGAGGAACCTCCTGGATTGCTTGTGCCAGGCCATACCGTCGTTCCAACAGATGTCAGGGTGGTTGAAGTCACCCATGAGAACAAGGGCCTGTGAGTGTGAGGCTTTTCCTATCTGTCTATAGAGCGCTTCATCCGCAGGTTCTCCTTGATCAGGCGGTCTGTAACAGACCCCCACAGTAATGTCTCCCATAGCTTTATTCCCTTTAACCCTGACCCACAAACTCTCTGTTAACTGCTCACCTGTCCCCAGACAGAGTTCCATACTCTCCAACCGATCCCTAACATAAAGGGCAACTCCCCCTCCCCGCCTGCCAGGCCTGTCTTTTCTAAAGAGCCTGTAACCTTCCATTCCAACACTCCAGCCATGGGAGCCATCCCACCATGTTCCTGTGATGCCTATTATATCAAACCCCCGTAGATGTGCACACAACTCTAATTCCTCTTGTTTGTTCCCCATGGTACGGGCGTTTGTATAGAAGCATCTGAGCCCAGCTCCAACTGAAGCTGGCTCATTGGCTGGAGTGGCTGGAATATCTCTACATTGCTCCGAGCATTTATTATAGGTGCTAGCAACTGACTGGGTGTGTTGGGATGGAATGATGCCCCCCTCCCCCAACACATCTAGTTTAAAGCCTCCTTGACCAGTCTGGCAAGCCTCCTACCAAAACTGCTCTTTCCCTTCTTTACCAGACCAGCTCCACCAGCCCCCAGTAGACCTGGCCTACAAACTTGGGTCCCGTGTTCAAGACACCCAAACCCCCAACTATGGCAGCACCCTTTTAACCAGTTATTAACCTGGCTAATCCTCCTAGCTTTTTTTAGGTCCTCCCCTGCATCCTGGAGAATTAACGAAAAGACAGTCTGAGCTCCAGAGCCCCTAACCACCTCCCCCAGGGCTCTGTAGTCCTTATGTTCCCCAGGCTACTACTATCTATGTCCCTAGCACCCACATGTATCACCAGGAGTGGGTCTTAGAGCAGGCAGCCTCTCTGCCACATCCCTGATCCGTGCCCCCGGTAGGCAACACAGCTCCCTTGATACAGTGTCTGAACGGCAGACAAGTGCTTCTGTCCCTTTCAGTGTAGAGTCCCCTACTACTACGACCCGCCGCTTTTTCCTGGCAGCACCAGTAGAGATCTTCTTTAGCAGTGCATCAGCCGGATCTTTCTGGCACGAGTGCGTTTACTCATTAGCCCCCTGCCAGACAGCAAAGTGGTTCTGGGTGGAGACAACAGATTTAGGGGGAAGTCCCTTGCTTTTGATTGTCCTTTTCCTCCTTTTTTTGTTGTTTTTGGGGGTTTGTTTGTTTTTTTTTTTGTTTGTTTTCTTTTTGTCATTAATTCCCAGCTTCCCAGGTTAACGGCCTCCTTATTTCCTTCATCAGCTAGAGGGGAAGCTTGAGGCCCCTGCACAGTTTGGGCCGGGAGCAAGCATTCTGCTTACTCTCAGCTTCTCTGCCATCTCGCAGCCTATTAACAGCATCCCGCAGCTCAGCCCCTGCTGCAGGAGCACCTCCACCAGGGAGCACGGAGTGCAGCCCTGCCCATTGTGCACCCTCCCCTCACCAGACCAGTGCAGGCACTCTCTGCACCCCGAGCTCTGCACTGCAGCCTCCCCTCTCACCGGCTCTGTCTTGGTGCCTGTGCTGGCCACCGCCGGGGCAGCCAGAGCAGAGCTCCCAGACCAGGCCCTGATCATACGACGCATGCTCACCATCCCGCTCGCCTGCCCGCGCAAACTGCCTCGCCGCGCTCCCTGGGGCAGGTTTTTACCCACTCAGGGCTGGTGCCGCTGCTCCTGGCTCCGCCCCCTGTGAGTCAGCTGCTCGCTCTCGTCAGCTGAGCTGCCGGCTCCTGGGCAGGTCCTGTCGAGGACTTGAGGTTCCCTCGGTGGCTCTTGTCGCTCTGAGTTGAGGCTCCTGGACGCTGATCTCCCCCCGCTCCGGTGTTCAAGGCGTCCTCTCTCGAGCTACTCGCCTCAGCAATTGACCGCAGTTTAAGACCAAAATCTCTTTAGCATGGACAGGATGATCTAGCAACCCTAGTCAGTCTAGTAGTTTTAATGTGGATGACAAAGTAGCTGCTGAAGCACAAGCTCGCCATCTCCAGCAAAATGTCTCCCTCTCCTTCTGCCTTTTCAGGACTATGCTGAGAAGGAGAAGGCTGCAGCCAAGGCTCTGGAGGATGTGAAGGCTAACTTCTACTGTGAACTATGTGACAAGCAGTACCACAAACACCAGGAATTTGACAACCACATCAATTCTTACGACCACGCTCACAAGCAGGTAAACCTAACAAATGTCCATGCATGTTCAGCAGTCCACCTTCCTTTCTTATTGATTGTGGGAGGTTTCTAAATTCACTCAAGGAGAAGACAATTCATCTTTTGATGTTTTCAACTTTAACATGCTATTTTTCATTAAACTAAAATTTAAAATACTCATTGTTTTAATCTTCACAATTTCTGACTGAAAGATCTCCATCTGTATTTTTAGACAGGTGTTCGATACCAATATTCACACTGAATTTGATATCTTTAAATGTGGAATTAGTGGTAAGCTAAAGGGAAGGGGAAGGCTCACTTCCTCAAAATCCAGGTCCCTCTTGGATGCTGAGGGCATGTGACCATGCTGTTTCAAGCAGTTTGTGCTGTTTCAAGGACAGAAGAACAGTTTATTTTTTTAAAAAAAGCATATGTTTCTGAAGTTGAAATCTATTTCTCATCATGTTTCTCGGGGTGGAATAAGTTTTTCCTTGCATGCAGAAAGCAACATAAAATAATAGCTGCTATTGAACAACAAAGTATTGGATTCCTGAGAAAAGATAGTACATGCTAATTACCTTTGGTTTTTTTATGAATTTCATCAGGTCTGTATGCGGTAGGTATATTCTACCCATATATGCCTATTAGCTGTCCTGCATCCTAGTTTTACTCTAGCAAAGAAAACCATATTTCAGTTGTCATTCTAGACAGAAATGTAATTAATTCACATAAACAATTCAGAATTCAAAGATATTGGTTTGCAAAGTTCAGGAATGAACATTTCTGAACCTCTGATGTGACAGGCCATATATGATAAGCTAACATGTAGGAAGTTAGAACATGTAACTAGATTCCATAGATGTGTTCTTCTGTGTCTCTGGTAGTGCTTACATTGCACAGCTCAAGTTCCCACATATTGTGTGCATTCCAGTTACGAGAGTATTAGTGTCTTCTGGATGATCACACTTCTGGGTGCACAGGGGTCAGGAGCTACCTTACAAATATGTGAATCACCTAGAAGTTGCAAGTATTTCTGAAAGAGGATTAAACATAATAAATATTAAGTAAAACCAACAGTGAGAAAGGTAAAAGTCCTTACTCTCTCACTGCAAGCAGTTTTGTTGTCTTTTGCAGTACTACAGAGGATGTAAATCAGCCTGGAATTCTCTGCACGCATCCATCACAGCACTGCATTAACAAACTGCTGAGCACATGCTCACCCAACATGCTAAACCATCTTGCTGAACTCAAGCATCCCAGATTCAGCTATTTTAATGTGTATTAAGGAGACTCTTTTGGCCCATCACTCCCAAACCACAGCTAGATTCGTCTAATGTATTTATGTATTAAATCAAAAGCAATTATTCACATCACCATTTCATTAACTAATCCATAAAAATGGATATAATAATGCAAGACAAATGCTTTTCCCGATCCTAAACATGTGACTCTAATCCCTATAAATCCTCATTTGCTGCACAATGAATTTTTTTCACCCTTCAGCTGTTTTTTTAACTCGTCAGAAATGCATCTGAACTCAAATGGATCTGTTTGTGCCCTTCCCTCTTCACACAGTTCCACTGCAAGTGCAGTTTGTGCAAAATAAAACAGCCTGCTTGATACACCTTCTATGACTGAATTGTTGGGCGGGGAAGGTTTTTTCAGCTTTATGTCTTAAAAGGGAGTGTTTAAGCAATAAAATTCTTTTTAATTTTTTAGGTAAATTTAGTGCTTTAAAAGCTGCCAGGCATAGTACTGCGAACTAAAATTCTACATGGAAATGCACGATGCACATAGAATATCAATTGGCAGTACAAGCTCACCCCATCCTGCCCTTTCAGATGTAGTTCAGAAGCTCAGTTAGCACAGGATTAGATAGCTACCCTCCTGATGTGATGTGGCAATTCAGTCTTTTCTCACTTCTCACTTCCTGACACCTCAGCCAAGTCTGGAATCAGTGGTAGTTTGCCTCCAGGAATAATGTGGATGTGCCCTTTTCTCTGACTTTTATAGTCAGAAGAGTCTTTATTCTTCTTACTTTTATCAGAGTAATCTTCAAAATAAAACAGTTAATTTATGGTTTCCTGTGAGTTTAGTTAGCTTAGTTTAAAATGTTTGTTCTGGGAGGGATAGTAGCCACCAGAAAAGCTTTTTTCCTCTCTTTCTTCTAAGGTACATTTTCTGTTTCCCAGCAGAAATTTGAGGGTACCTTTAGTTTATGCACGGAATGTTCTAAATATCATTCTTGTAATGGGGAGTAAATTAAAATGAGAGACTCTATATTTCAGTAACAATACAGTGTAGTCCTCCCATGTGTATTCCTATTTAGATGCTACTGCTTTAGAATTTGTACTAAAGTGGCAATGCAGTTTAGAGAAGATACAAAGGCAGAAAAAAGGATATTGTATGGAGTACTTTGTTGTAAGTCTTTTGTTTCTTTTTCAGAGGAAACAGATTTTATTCAAAGAATTTTGACTCTAATCTCACAATATTATGGTTTTATAAAATTATTTTTGTGATCCATTTTCTTATCTATGATTTCAACCCATTGTTGAAGCAGATAGTAGTCTTGGACCTAGCAGTTGGCACACCAGCCATTGCCTTCCCCGGCCTCAGAAGACTGCAAAATGTTATGGTGACAATCTGTCCATGTTTTCATAAATGGCCTTTCTGCTGTGTTAGAAATATGCAGAGAGACTTTCTCTCTCTGGCTGCTACATAAATTAGTACTTATATCTATGAAAATATTATGTAGGTATGTTACATATATACCCATATATACATCCAGAGAAAACAGTGACAGAACACCAGAGATCTCCCCTGCCTGTGTCTTTGTAATCTTCTAACACTGTAATGATTCTGGAGGTGTCTAATATTATTTACATTTTTTTTTAGTAATATTGTCTGAGTATCAAGCAGCTTTTATTTCTTTGGTTGTCTTGACACCAATAGTCTTAATTAATGTTGCCAACATCTTTCCTGACACACTACTCTCTATATAGTTTTCCACTAATATTACATATTATTGGAAACTAATTTTTTTTCAGTGCAAGGCTGGATAAAGTGAACTCAGAAAATCTGGTGAGTGGAAGGCTGCACTCCCACCCTGCTGTACCTGAGTTCTCTCTTGTTAATCCTGATACTTGACAAGGCTGGGGCACCAATGTGGGTGGCTTTCCTGGGACTTAAATTTTCATCACTGTAACGCCCTGTGTGTAAATGTCTCATTGGCCCAGCACATACCAGCTAACCCACTTGAAATCAACAGCTTTTTTGCCTTATGTTTTTTCTTTCCTGTGGGATCTGTGATTTTATAAAGTCCTGGACAGCAGTTCACAGGCAGTAGCAGATTTGATAAGTCTGCAGTATGTCGCATCAAGCATCAAGGTGAACAATGCTTACTATCGCTTGCTCGCCATGTTCTCTGCAATAGAAATTAACTGCATCACAACTGATTATGTTGGCTCTGTCAAAACTGTCTGAACACTGAAAATGACAAAGGTCCTTGTGTGAATCTGTTAAAAAGTAATTAGTATATAGGTAATATGGTGACTGCCTGAAAATTCAGTATTTGTGGACGTATGTTACATGCTAAGCTGAAAATAAAACGGAAATATAGATTCTTTTAATGCGGTTATTAAGTTACATTCATCTATAAAAGGAAACCAAACTTGAGCAGAGATGTTTATTTGGTTAATGTTATTAAATTGAATCTTTAAATACCTCCAGGTCATGCATAGCATTCATCTATTCAGTTAATGTCAAAGTAGTTGGAGCTCAATTTTTGTATAAATAATCCTTAGCAATCAGCAAGGCTTTTAGATGTTAGCAAAGGAGAAAATCACAAATCTGTTCCATGTACTGCAATATAATAAATGTGATGATAATAATAGTAATAATAGAAATGAGCAGTGAAGAAAAACAAGACTGTATTGCCATCTTGGGGTTTCTGATGACAAAACAGGTCTTTTAGTTTTGTTGTCAAAATTTAGTTGTACAGTTAAATATATCACATTCTCTCCTATGAAAAAAAAATCTGAATTTTAGTAGGTGAACAGAAGTTTCAGTCAACACTAGTTCACATGCATGTACTAAGGATATATACTTATATCTTGGTATTAAAATCCATGCATACTAGTACTTGGTTGTTTTTTTTTTCATGAAAGTCTGATTTAGTGTGTACAGCTATGGGCACTTTCCATTAAGCCTTTATGGTACTTGTGGATTTAAAGTCTAATTCAGGCAGAGATTTACCTCCTGTTAAACATCAAATCTAGCAAATGTGCTTACATTTTAGCTAGTGTTGCCTCTGCCACCTAGAAAATGCATAGATAAGTGAACGCAGAGAAAGCTCCAGGAATGAGCATGATGCTGAGATCTTGTTTGTTCATATTTGGAGTGGTTTTTACAGCAGCTGCATGTTTATTGGAGGAAAAGTAAGTCCCATTTTTTTGCTCTAAGGTGTACCTCTCCTATTACCCAAACAATTTTCATTTGGAAGAAAGGAAACTGGACTGGTAATATCTGAGAAATTTCGCCTTGGGATCTGGGCAAACAGCAACACCAAGAAACCTTCTGCACAAAGTATTATATATTTAGGTGTAAGAGCAGTAATCAAACTCCTCAAACAGAAAGGGCTACCCCAGCATGAATGTCCCCTACTATGAGTGCATGTATAGTCCCTGCTTTTTTCCCTTGATATATAGATGGAATCAGTGTACTGCTTATACTCCCACATCGACAAGGCTAACATCCTTCCCTGCAGCCCCTGCTTTTGTTTTAATGCCTCAGGACGCTGCCTGGTTAGGAAAGGCCTGCTTTTTTAGGGCCAGGTTTTGCACATGAGGTTCGTACTCCCTGTGGCCTCCTCAGAAAATAACCTGAATGGCAGAAGACCTCAGCATTTCTTGCTCTCATTTCATCTTTAGTTAAGAGGTGCTGTCTGCAGCCATCAACATTCTGCTCCTTTAACCAAAAAATTTAATAAAATGTTCACATTTGTCACATCACTAATAAGAAAGC